TTAATGCACCTTTTTTTCGTTTTGGTGACTAGTTTTGCCGTAAAGAGAAAGGGATGATTTTACGGTTAAGTTAAAAAGATATAATTGTATTGTATTTACAGATTTTCAATTAACACACAAAATTATATCCTTTTAAAATCTTAGCATTGTGTTCATTCGTATCATATTCTTAAAATTTCGCAAATTTCAGCCTCAATATTCTTATAAAATATATTGTTATAAGAGAGTGTAGTATTATGACTGAGCTTTATTTGTTTTATTTTCGTTTTTCTTAGGTAAAAAAAACCTTATTAACATAGGGTGACTCAAAATAGTTATAAAAGTTAAACTAGTGACCAAATGATTACTGTAATTTGAAGCAGTTATTTTGGTATTTCCCATTCCATTTCGTGATTGTCTGCTTACTGCTGAAAAATAGACCCAAGCCCATTAGTAAATTACTTAAGGAAACCACTCCCGTTTCCTCGAACAACGCAGATTAAACTGAATTGAAATTCAGGTGTGTCAGGGAGCAGTGGTAAATGATCCATATCACTCAACTATACCAAGAGCCATAATGGCGAGTAGAAACCCATGACAGGCTATTGAATTAATAGCTATAGCAAGAGTCGACCGGGCTGAACAACGCGTAACCTATCGCAAGTCACATCTGCCGGATTCGAGCCGTGACGTGTGATGGAAGCTGCAAACTGTGGTTTCCACTATTCCGTGTTTTTTACGCTGCAGACGTCAATTTTTACCCGCTTCGTTATAATTAGGAGGTTCGTTGTATGGAGCATTCCACTGAAACTATCTTCATTTCCTTGAGCGTGAGATGAACTGGTCACGTTCAAATATAAAGGGAGCCAAGTTTTAAAATCATTAGCACCTTTTATATGTGCTACGATATTGCAAACAGACATTTTTGTTATTTACACAAGTTTAACAGTCTTCATAAAAGGCAGAAACGAATTAAGATTGTTCTAGTGTTGTAATAAGGCATAACCTAAGGGTAGATATGTCCACTGACGTATAATTTTTCATGTAAATTCTTCGAGAAAAGATTCTATTGTATTGACCCCCAACATGCCCGTCTTTCTTGTCACGTGGTTGCAAACCAAGAATTGGGTGTCATTTTGAGGTATCTTTGCATCGATAAAACCTTTTTTATTTTACTTTGAATTGTTTGTAAATTATTTGTAAGGGATACGCATAACTGTTGTTTTTTTCTTTCACTCCTGTTTCATCTACGGGCAAGTGTCAGTAAGACCTTGAAACCACTGAGGATGGATTCTTGCTTTCATTGAGCATACGCGTTCACTGGTTGCATTATAAACGCGTACCCTAGCCGTCTGTTTCAATCTAGCACGAGGGGTACTCCTGGGAGTTCTTGATAGGGGTGCACCACCCGGTTCTCCAAATCCTGACCCTATTTCAGAGTAATAAAATTGTAATTTTCCACAACCGTTTTCATACCTGGCCTCTAAAATGAATTCCCGTTTTGAAACCTGGCGAAGGCAGAAATATCATTAATTAGATTAGAGGGCCGATAAGAAGATTTCCTCAAATCCATTCGAATTCGCATATTACTCTTTCTTTCTTTTTTATTTGGAATTGTGACGTAAAATAACTTTCATACAACCCCGTAGTTCCCTCAAAACCAAACCCGATTCCAGACCAAAATGGACAAAGTCTATACCCGTGTTTCAGACCAAAACGGTGCATACATACCCTTACGGGGCGCCGCAAACAGTACCTATATTGCTTATATAAGGGGGTACTTCCCGAAGGGGGGGGGGAGGGGGGCCAATCTAACGCATCAATAAGCGCCAAAAACTACCCGAGCAAAACGCCATCTTGGCGGTTTTCAAGGGTCTGCTTCGAAGTTCAAAGTACATGTAATGTGCGTCATCTTAAAACACCATCCAAGCAACTTATCCCTTACCTACGAATACGCGAGCGGAAAAAGCAGGTTTACATCTTCGCACAGTCGTATGCTGGAAATCAATGTACCCTAACGGAAACTCAACGTCGCAAATTCTAATGATTTTAAAGCAGCACGGTCTATAAAAGTCAAAATTGTTAAGTGAGTGAACCAATTACACTAATAAGCTATAGTAACCAAAAAACTGCTCTACGGAATCAGTGATGTGTATGAAAACAATATAAAAGTGTAATCGCGCGAATAAAGGAACAATATCGAAATGTTGCTCATTCTCTATATGTGGTATGCGCAGTCTATACGTTCTTCTTGGTGTTACGGAAACTTACTTAATGTTATGTAACGTGTGTCATCTTTTTAGGCCCTGCTTTTATCCGTACTTTTGCTCGGGAAATCAGTCTGCCAGAAGCTTTGCGCGATGACTCAAAGAAAGGCTGCGTCAGAAAGAGGCTTCTGCGTGACCCTGAAGAAACGAATAATTTGTCCAGTTTGGGGGTAGGAAAATTTGTAGTTTTCTTTACTTGAATTTTTTTACTACTTCTAAGAAATTTATTACAAAACTCAGCAAATTCAAACATAAAGCGCAGAACAAAACATTTAATGGGTGAATGTTGTACGTAAAAGTATTGCTGGTTTTCAGTGTCACGCCATTCAAAATAGATCAAAATAAAAATCAAAACCGTTCAATAGACAAAGTCCAGGATCTGGGAAATGAAAGGAGGTACATATACAAAAATGAAGACCCTCGCCAAGATTCAGGTCAGAGGAATATTTCGTATACGAGATATCCGAAGAAATGTTTTACCCAAACTTACAGAGATTTGTATGGAGACGCCATGCTGGTGCTCACCTGGATGAGCTCCAACATGGCGGATGGAAACCAACAGAAACATCTGTTACCGAGTTTTGCTAGAAAAGCGTGAATTTATTCTTCGAGAAACTCATAAACAATAAAGTAATTCTTTTTCTAATTCATGAACTGTTTAGATAGCAAAACTTTCTGAAATAAGTCATTTTTTTTAACCTACATTACAGCTCTCTTGGCCGTCATGTCATGTAAATGAAAGCTTTGAAATTCAAGCGTACTCTATCACAAAACCAAGAACCCTTTTGGAGCGAAAATTTGTGTAAAAATTAGTTTTCAGCTGCTCTAATGCATCGTGAAAGTAAAATCTCGGTAGGATCGATAGTTTCTTAGTTTGAATGTTAGTGACGTCATGTGAAAACCAACAATATTTCCGTCATGGCTTTTGACGTCTACGTTGACGGGAGTTTATAGCTAGGTAACGGTTAGCTATTTTGTTGGTCTGTACACATTTCTCTTTTTATAAGAATGTTTTTACTTGTTTTTTCGACCCAGGCTGAATATTCTTATTTTTGTGCCGATTTTAGGCTGAAAGCATTCTTTTATTATTCTTAGATTTATAGCTTCTGACTTTTCCGTTTTAGAATATTTTGGGATCAGTATATTTAAACTGCAGTTAATGCACGTTTTTTTCGTTTTGGTGACTAGTTTTGCCGTAAAGAGAAAGGGATGATTTTACGGTTAAGTTAAAAAGATATAATTGTATTGTATTTACAGACTTTCAATTAACACACAAAATTATATCCTTTTTAAAATCTTAGCATTGTGTTCATTCTTATCATATTCTTAAAATATCGCAAATTTCAGCCTCAATATATAATATTCTTATAAAATATATTCTTATAAGAGAGTGTAGTATTATGACTGAGCTTTTCGTCAGTACTAACTTCTCTGCGCTCAATATTGGTCATAAATCAAATGTCTTATTTTCGTTTTTCTTAGGTAAAAAAAACCTTATTAAGATAGGGTGACTCAAAATAGTTATAAAAGTTAAACTAGTGACCAAATGATTACTGCAATTTGAAGCAGTTATTTTGGTATTTCCCATTCCATTTCGTGATTGTCTGCTTACTGCTGAAAATTAGACCCAAGCCAATTAGTAAATTATATAAGGAAACCACTCCCGTTTCCTCGAAGAACGCAGATTAAACTGAATTGAAATTCAGGTGTGTCAGGGAGCAGTGGTAAATGATCCATATCACTCAACTATACCAAGAGCCATAATGGCGAGTAGAAGCCCATGACAGGCTATTGAATTAATAGCTATAGCAAGAGTCGACCGGGCTGAACAGCACGTAACTTATCGCAAGTCACATCTGTCGGATTCGAGCCGTGACGAGTAATGGGAGCTGCAAACTGTGGTTTCCACTATTCCGTGTTTTTTACGCTGCAGACTTCAATTTTACGCGCTTCGTTATAATTAAGAGGTTCGTTGTATGGAGCATTCCACCGAAACTATCTTCATTTCCTTGAGCGTGAGATGAACTGGTCACGTTCAAATATAAAGGAGCCAAGTTTCAAATCATTAGCACCTTTTATATGTGCTATGATATTGCAAACAGACATTTTTGTTATTTACACAAGTTTAACAGTCTTCATAAAAGGCAGAAACGAATTAAGATTGTTCTAGTGTTGTAATAAGGCATAACCTAAGGGTAGATATGTCCACTGACGTATAATATTTACGTGCGTACGAACTTCAATTGTACGCGCGTTAATAAAATAGATGCGATGTACGAACGGTCGCTCATAAACGGAAAATTCGTGCAAGGTTCAACTTTTTGTGATTATACACGACCTTTCATCCAACGCTTCTAGTAAACGCTTTGCCCAGTAGTGGTAAAAAATATTTGTAAAAGAACCTCGCTATAGTGAACATATTTTGCCAGTTTCTTGGCCCCTCGTTATATCGAGGTTCCACGCGACTATATCTAAGTTCCCGCGAAACTGATTTTATCAGGCCGCGGTTTTTAAGGACTCTATAAATACACGTTGGATTAATTCAGCGGCACTGAAGTCCTGAGCAAATTTGCATGTGAAGAGATACAACTATAATGAAATCCGTAATATACTTGTATGGCCATATACTAGTATGGCCCCAAATGAGAACATTTTCCAAGTAGGCGGGTTAACGCGCTGTTGTATTGGGCGTAGATACACTGTGAACAGCCGATTTGTATACTTTACTAGTTGGACTTTTTCCGGAATATTAAGTTAGCTCTCTTCGCCAAGAGACTCATTGGGTGTTTCTTCCATACTGCTAACTTGATCGTCGCTTGTTACAACGCTACTGTCTTGAAAATTTTGTGTATAGGCATCATTTACGGCTTCCTCGTATGAAGGAGGCATTATTTCAGGGCCAGAGGGTTCAGGAGGAACGGGAATTTCAAAGTGATGAATGGAGCCTAGCTCGCTGGCGCATTCGTCCGTGTATGATTGGTTGGCATTTATCTCAGGAGCGTAATTTCCTTGTTCAACATTTGTGCTTGTGTCTTGAGCTGGCAACAAATTGCGTCGTGAATACCAGCAAAATGCAATAGCAAGTTGACTAAAGCCACCAAAAGCCAAAACTAGAGGACCAATTGCACGAAAGGTTTTCAACGAGCCCGTTAAACCAACTACCGTCAAAAACACGCCAGCAATGAAAACAATCAAAGGAATCAAGCGAAAGATTCGAAATTTCTCTTTGTCCGTCACCATTTACAACCCAGAGATATGTCAATAAACAATAGATGAAGTCTTGATGTTTGATCTGAGTGTTTGAGCCGTCAAGCGCGTAGTGGCTGTTCGTAAACTGCTTGGCATTTCAGGTTTGATAGACGAAGGCGCCTCACAATTTGTTTTTTGAATAGATATTATTATGACGGCTCATTCCGCGTGAATGCAGAAATGATATTAAAACAAAGCCTTCAAAAATTTGCATGTTATATTATCCTATTATGGCTCTTGGCTAAAATACAATAACGAGGGAGGATTCATATGTGTGTGGCTGTCGCATTAGCCCTGTTGGAATTTTTCGTTTTTTTTTTCAGATCAGGGTGGAAGTGACAAGGCTAACCAGTAAGTGTAGCAGGAGAGTGCCTAGTTCCTAGGCCGCTTATCATAGCGCACGGCCTATATGTTTCGGATCACTTGGCCTGAGAGAGTTTTTACCATTTACCTGGGCAAACCGGTCGGTTCGCAGTTTGGGCAAATGGTACGCAAAATTCAAGACTAGTAAATTTCGCCCCGGAATCACGTTTACTATTTGTAAAAGTCGGAAGACCCTTCTCGACTTTCGTAGTTTTGTTTAGTTGTTTTCATTCATGCAAATTTAGAGTACTTTAACCCATTTTTAACTCGCATTTTTATTTTTCTATACCTTGATAATGGCGTCATGATCTCGCCGTAACGTCGGAACTGATTAATGTCTCGTTACGGCTTTGTACATGTTTATGTAGCAATTATTGGATGAGGATAACACCCTCCAAGATCTGCATTATTCGTCAGATTATACCAGGATAAAGCTAAATCCAATGTTTAATGACAGGGGTCACCATTTTAGGCTCTTGTTTTTCTGTTTCCCTTCCCATCGTCCTTTGCGCGCTTTCTTTTACCCTCTGCTCACCTCCCGCGTGGCATAAAGAGGCCGCTCATCTCTGCTTGGAGTACACACAGAAGATAAAACCCTGATTTGTGCAGTTCGTTGTGCTTCTGTGTCATGTCAGTGAATTTTCGTTCGAAACTTTCGTCAGCAAAGATAAAGACCTCGATCCCAAAATGCCAAGATCAGCCAAGATTTAATGATTACTACGTAAGAAACCTTGTCACTACCGAAAGAGTATGATAAACTGAATTTGCGCTCTCTTAGTGGCGACAACTGACTCTTGCGTTTTGGTTGGTCGAAAGAGATTGAAGTTTCTATTGTTACTTCAATGTTAAGTGGCTCTTCCTGGAACGCGATTTCTGAGTTGCAGTACATGCAGTGTCACTTTTTCCACTAAAAGTTCCTCATATTCTATGTGTAGAGGGGGACTTCTACAGACTTTAGGATTACGTGAAGAGAGGTGACCCAACCAGAGTTTGGCAGTTGATGATGGTTTTAATCTTTTCGTTGAAGTTATAAACTCCTCTAGCTATCTCAAGGCGTAACTGTGAAACTACTTACAAGAGGTTCTATTTATATTAAACTATTAAGAGCCAGTCAGTCTGTAAATATCGAGAATCCGGCGACAGTTTCAAAATTTCAATTCTTCATATTTTGCCCAAATAAAGCCTTTAGTGAGTTATTTTCGAAAATACAATTAAAAGATCCCAAGGCGCTCGAGTTTTTTCAAAATCGAGGAAAGTTTGAAAATCGCCATTTTGGCCTCCCGCCGCCATTGAAAATTGATAAAAATGATGCATTTTCGTTTCGCTCGTGCTGGTAAACGCGATAACATCTAGCAATTCAAGAGACTCATTGGGTGTTTCTTCCATACTGCTAACTTGATCGTCGCTTGTTACAACGCTACTGTCTTGAAAATTTTGTGTATAGGCATCATTTACGGCTTCCTCGTATGAAGGAGGCAGCATTTCAGGGCCAGAGGGTTCAGGAGGAACGGGAATTTCAAAGTGATGAATGGAGCCTAGCTCGCTGGCGCATTCGTCCGTGTATGATTGGTTGGCATCTATCTCAGGAGCGTAATTTCCTTGTTCAACATTTGTGCTTGTGTCTTGCGCAGGCAGCAAATTGCGTCGTGAATACCAGCAAAATGCAATAACAAGTTGACTCAAGCCACCAAAAGCCAAAACTAGAGGACCAATTGCACGAAAGGTTTTCAACGATCCCGTTAAACCCACTACCGTCAAAAACACTCCAGCAATGAAAACAATCAAAGGAATCAAGCGAAAGATTCGAAATTTCTCTTTGTCCGTCACCATTTACAACCGGGAGATATGTCAATAAACAAAAGATGAAGTCTTGATGTTTGATCTGAGTGTTTGAGTCGTCAAGCAGTGGCTGTTCGTAAACTGCTTATCATTTCAGGTCTGATAGACGAAGGCGCATAACAATTTGTAGTTTGAATAGATATTATTATGACGGCTCATTCCGCGTGAATGCAGAAATGATCTTAAAACAAAGCTTCAAAAATTTGCATGCTATATTAGGCTAAAAACAATAACGAGGGAAGATTCGTACGTGAGTAGCTGTCGCGTTAGCACTGTTGGAATTTTTTTTTTTTCAGATCAGGGTGGAGGTGACAAGGCTAACTCAGTGAGTGTAGCAGGAGAGTTGCCTGGTCCCTAGGTCGCTTATCATAGCGCACGGCCTATGTGTTTCGTATCACTTGGCCTGAGAGAGTTTTTACCATTTACATGGGCAAACCTACCCTGGTCCCAGAGGTTTTTCTTGATTTTTCTTCGCGAAAGAGATCAAGAGCAAGCCGCGAAGCGGCGACAACGTGTCGCGAAAGCGATGAGGAGAGAGAGAAAAACCTCTGGTTACCTTGGCCTCGAATCTCACTTTCATGCAGACGACAGGGTCAGGATCTGACCCTCGGGCGTTGATTGGTTGATATTTTTTCAAACACGCAAACCAATTAGATTGGCTCGTTTAATTGTAACTACCGAGGGGACGCTGAGGATTTTCACACCTCATTTTGCCTCTCTCTACCAGGGAAGAAAATTGTTTGTATGCTGCACTCGCAATAACATTTGCACGGGACCAAGGCACGTAAAGGCACGCCATATTTCAAGATTTTGACATGGATGTTGTTCCTGAAAGAATATTCGAAGAACTTTTGACCTCAGTACTAGATGAGCGCTTTCCTGGGTCTCACTGAGCAACAAAAGAAAGCTTTGTTCGCCGCGTTGAGTCGAAAGGATGTGTTCACCATTTTATCAACCGGACATGGAAAGTATATAAAGTATATAATATTTCAGTCGTTACCTGATGCCTGCAAATCCTGCAGCAGTCGTTTGCAACAATGTTGGTTTCTTTATAAAGTGGTGTTCTTATTCCTGGACTCTTGCCCATTGTTAACACATGCTTTAGCTTGACGCAGATTAACAAATCACTCTTTACCACCCTAGTGGAGATGGTTTGTTCATAACATAATTTCCCCAGGTCTACCCCCGCTTAAAAAAATAGCGGCTGATAAGCACGTGTTTGCTAAATTGCCATTGGTCACTCTTTTTATTAGCAATTTGACGCGTTAGACAGCTGTCGTCTGCATGAAAGTGAGATTCGAGGCCAAGGTAACCAGAGGTTTTTCTCTCTCCTCGTCGCTTTCGCGACACGTTGTCGCTGCTTCGCGGCTTGCTCTTGATCTCTTTCGCGAAGGAAAATCAAGAAAAACCTCTGGGACCAGGGTACGACAAACCGGTGGGTTCACGGTTTACTTTCTTTTTTTTACTTAAATTCACGTTTACTTTTTGTAAAAATCAGTTCCATTTCCCAAATAACGGCCGCGAAGGCCTGAAACTGGAATCAAAGATGGCTTGAAGAAATGAAAGACGTCCGTTTGGAATATTACGTCCGGAAAAATCACAGGTAGCCCAAGCTCGAAATATGAGCATCGGCGAGCATCGGCATTGTTGCGTAACATTCAAAATGTAAGGATTTGTATGGGAAAAAAAACCTATCGTTTATGTAACCTACGAAAATGAAAGGATTTCAATACAAAACAGCTTGCCTTACTTAAAATGTGTGTTACGTCTCTCCTGTGTGGTCCAAGGGCCGATTTATGTCCGTTTTATGGGTTTTTATGTAAACGGTTTTCTCTCTAAACCCATTAAAACGGCCATAAATCGGCCCGTGGACCACACAGGAGAGACGTAACACACATTTTAAGTAAGGTAAGCTGTTTTTTATTGAAATCCTTTCATTTTCGTAGGTTACAGAAACGATAGGTTATTTTCCCATACAAATCCTTATATTTTGAATGTTACGCAACAATGCCGATGCTCGCCGATGCTCATATTTCGAGCTTGGGCTACCTGTGGAAAAATAGGCCTACCTTTTCAGATGTTCCAGATTATCCGTAGACTTAATGTAAATGGTAAACAACCTCTGTCTCCCCGTTGTTCGTCTCAGCCTACATCTTTGAAATGCACTGACCGAAAGGGTCTGGTAAGACCGCGCCTTACAGACAAGCAAGCAAGAGAGAACGAGAGTAGTCAATAATTTCATAGTCTTATTCCCAAATCCGATATCAAATATAAAGCATGAAATGTGCTGAGACGCTCTGAACTGAGGGCCCCCAAATCTTGCCAATGTTACTGCCAAGGGCCGGAGGGGATTGGGAGCTGTGTGCAAAAGACCATCGCAGCAATTATTTAATTAATAATTACTGATTTGTACGAAAGCCGAGGAGGGTCTTCCGACTTCTGACTTCCGACTTCCAACTTCAGACTTCCGACTTCCGACTTCCGACTTCCGACTTCCGACTTCCGACTTCCTACTTCTGACTTCCGACTTCAGACTTAAGATTTCATACTTCAAACCTCAGGCAGACTTGACAAAGTGCAAAGACCGGATTTCTGATTTCTGACCGCTCAGACTCAAAGCTGAATGGCTAGACCTTCGGACCTCCCACTTCCCACTTCCGACTTCTGACTTCCAACTTCCGATTTCCCACTTCTGATTTCCAACTTCTGACTTCTGACTTGACTCTTCTGTTTGGCTCGATCGCCGCTCGATCCACCACGCAGGTAGTAATGCTCAAAGTCAAAGCTCAGTGGAAAGGATGGCTGTACCGTTCTCGCCACAAAAGAGAACATTTAAACTTGCTCTTGAAAAAGCAACTAAGCACAAAGCCAACCCGGCAACCAATAAGATTCGCTTGGAGAACCGAAACCTTGGTCTTGGCTGATCACAAAGTGGCAATAACAAAACAGTCCAAACACTGTTAACCTTATTCTAGCCCGCATAACAGGCGCCTTATAAACCAAGCGAGGCGAACGCGGCATTTTGCGCGAAGCGCGAAACGAGTGCGAAGCACTTCGCTCGTAAAACGCCTGTTGTGCAGGCTAAACTTATTCAAACTCGGGATTTCAAGTGACGGGGATGATCGAAGGATTTTTTTTGGGTTTGAAATTTCCGATTCCGGGATTTTTTTGGGTACGAAAATTTGGCAAGTATTTTTTTGGGGTAGCTTGATTTGAGTAGAGATTTTTTGGGGGTATTAAAAAGAATCGGTAGTGCCCTGTCTGCGTAGTTCTGCGAATAAAGTACAAACAGGTTGGTCTTGTTTAGAGTTATTCATAACATTACTGTTGAAACAAAACCGTTCTTGGGTGTCTCTAGCACCCACTCTAGCTTGTTAAAGTGACTGCCAGATGCGGGAAAGGATATATTCAGATGGTGCGATGACACGAGTGTTCAATTTCCAATGTTTTTCCTTGTGTTATAGCATTACCCCTTTCTGGAACTTTTAAGGGCCACAAAATCGGCATGGGGTTTTTTGGGGGTTAATTTTTGGTTCAGGGATTTTTTTGGGTTTTGCGGGAAGCCCTGGGGATTTTTTGGGGTCTTGACTTTTGGCTCCATTCGATCGTCCCCGTCACTTGAAATCCCGGAGTACCCCCCTGGGCGCGTAGGCCTACCAGATAGATAGATAGATAGATAGATAGATAGATAGATAGATAGTTTATTCTGATTAAAATCGCAGCCAAAAGCTGAATTAGATTAATCGTTACAATAATAACATCTAATAAAAATATGTCTTTGAGAAAAAAATATAAGAAAATTGTACACATATGTAGCTAAAAATTTAATTACAGTTGGTATATATAAATGTGTTCTTAAGTCTCTTCGTCTTAGCCAGAGGGACATTAAAATTCCTCTTTCGTCTTATTAACCTAAGTGTTAACAATGCTCCACCGTTCTCGAGTACGTCAAATACCAGACTCAATGTTGTGATGGAATCAAAAAGCTTAGTTGTGACAGACTGCCTGCGTCGAGAGAGCGTCTCTAAGTTGGCTTGATGTAATGCGTCGCTATATGGTACGAACGGAAAAATAATTTGCTTGGCGCGCTTCTGTAGCTGTTCTAGCTCTGCGGATAAATATGCGGGAAGCGCGTTGTGAAAAACCGGGCACGCGTATTCCGTTGCTGGGCGGATACAGGTCAAGTACAAGATTAGCAGATCTTTGGCGGGAATATTCGCTCTCTTCAGTTGTTTAAGAAAATATAATCGACTCGCTACTTTTTTACTTATTTCAGCAACATGGCAGTTCCACCGGAGGTCGGATGATGTATTTAGACCTAACAACTTAACAGTGTACCTCTATTGCTTTCCCGTTGAAAACAATGGGAGCAAAGTCCGCGGCTGATTTAGCGAACGAAATCCGTAGTTCCTTACACTTCGACTCGTTTAGCTGGAACTTGTTTTGGTTAGACTTAGCGATCAGTTCCTTCACATCAGATGGGATACGGCTGTCTTCCTTCTTGTCAACACACCCTGCAATAGTTGTGTCATCCACGTATTTCCCCAGTTCCGTGTTACTGGTGTTCATGTCATCAATCATGAGTATAAACAGCCACGGCCCCAGCTTGGTTCCCTGCGGCACCCCTGCCGGTACGTTCCTCCATTCAGACAAGCAATCTTCTCCCAATTTGACTCTCTGCGTGCGATCTTTAAGGAAATCGATGATCCACAACAATACGCCAACCGGCATGTCCAGGGCCAGCAGCTTCCTAGCGAGAAGCGCGTGTTCTATCAAATCGAAAGCCTTCCGGTAATCGAATAAGACGACCCTGATGGTGGATCCTGTACCATTAGTGTTTGGTCCAGGAGTGCACCATACTGATTAGCGCATGCGTTGTTGAGGATTCTTGGATAGCCCCAAATTGGTTGTCTCCGATTTTCTTAAAAACTGATGGTCGCAAGTGCTCCGCAACAACAAACTCCTCCGCCACCTTAGAGAGAACGGGCTTTAACGAGATGGGACACAGGAAGTCGGAAGTCGGAAGACCCTTCTCGACTTTCGTAGTTTTGTTTAGTTGTTTTCATTCATGCAAATTTAGAGTACTTTAACCCCTTTTGAACTCGCATTTTTATTTTTTCTATTTCTTGATAATGACGTCATTATCTCGTCGGAACGTCGGAACATTGTCTCGTTTCCTTTCACATATTTATTTAGCAATTATTGGATGAGGTGGATAACATCCTCCAAGATCTGCATAATTCTTCAGATCATACCAGGATATCATACGAAAAGCTAAATCCAATATTTAATGACAGGCCAGGGGTCACCATTTTAGGCTCTTGTTTTTCTGTTTCCCTTCCCGTCGTCCTTTGCGCGCTTTCTTTTACCCTCTGCCCACCTCCCGCGTGGCATAAAGAGGCCGCTCTTCTCTGCTTGGAGTAGAGAGAGAAAATAAAACCCTGATTTGTGCAGTTCGTTGTGGTTCTGCGTCATGTCAGTGAATTACGTTCGAAACTTTCGTCAGCAAAGATAAAGACCTCGATCCCAAAATGCGAAGATCAGCCAAGATTTAATGATTACTACATAAGAAACCTTGTCGCTATACCGAAAGAGGATGATAAACTGAATTTGCGCTCTCTTGTGGCGCCAACTGACTCTTGCGTTTTGGTTGGTCGAAAGAGAAGTTTCTATTGTTACTTCAATGTTATATACAAAGCGGAAGGCAGAACCAAACAACAGGAGGTTCTTCCTGGAACACGATTTCTGAGTTGCAGTACATGCAGTGTCACTTTTTCCACTAAAAGTTCCTCATATTCTATGAGCTAGAAGCAAGTAGGCGGTAGCCGAATCAGACCGTGTGTTAAGTCAGGGTCGCTCGAGAACAGTCGTAAGACGCGAGATGCCAGGGGCACCCAACGACTGTTTTCTGTGTAAAATCTGTTCAGAGAAGCAAAAATTGCCTAGAATTTTCTACAGCCAGTGAGGAAGGCTAAAAGTTTCTACACGACCGTTCCATTCATTTTTTCCATATCACACCCCAGGCTAGGCTATTTTTCGTAGAGTGAAGGAAACCTAAAATTATCAGAACTGTAAATGCAATGCACTATCAGAAAAATTCTCACTTTGGTAAAACTTTAAATTGCAGCTAACATTTTCGGGAAAATAATACTGAAGCGGCTTTTCATTTCGAAAGGACGCAAGTTGCTCTAAGTTGACCGAACAGATAAAACGTTTTTATCGCCACTTGGAATACATTTCTAGAGATCTAAAAGTACTTTGGATAGCCTAAAAAGTGTTTTCAATCAAGAGAGAATGATCTAGCTCATTCTCTCTTGTTTCAATGTATTTAGGAGGAAGCCCGTCCGGTTGGGTGCCCCTGTGATGCCAGAGCGAGAGCGTTGCTGACGCCCAGGGCCCCGGGTTGTTCGAAGGTCGACTAGCGCTTACCCGGCAGGTTAAAATTTAAATCGGGTTCTTTATCTTTTGTTCAAAAGCATTTTCTCGGATAAATTTTTCTTTATTATTTTTAGAGCATCCAATCATCAAATTGTGAACAAAACGAAATCAAACTGAATTGGCTTTTTACGGCTTTCATGGCTGAATTCAAATTTTCAGTAACCCCGGGTTATGTTAACCCAGCTTTGAAGAATCTAGCCGTGGGCGTTATTTTTCGCCTCTCGTAGCCTGCGTAGCGTGGCGGTTTCGTCGAGCCGGGCCGCACAAGCAACGAAGCCGCGAGAAAAATATAAGTTGCTCCCGCCCCAATCTCCTCGCGGTTTCTCTGCCCTCGCCCGCCTTTATTACTTACCGCGCCCAACCAAAACCGCCCTGCTACGCAGGCTACGCCTCTCGCGACCTTGCAGCTCGCCGCCCGCGTGATGTGCTTCATCAGTCCAATCACCATCAAAAAAGTGTTCGCGGTAGGTCATTTACTAAAGGTGATCATTTGCGATAGACTCTAACCATGCTAACTATGGGGCTTTTCTAGGACGAATTCGAAACGTTTGGTGTTCTAGATAAATGAGTCGCTTAATGGGGTCGAAATGGTTACTTTAATACCACGCTCCGACAGAGACAGTACTGCACTAAACTCGGCACAAAAACATAAATTAAACCATGTGACTACCCACTTTCGAGATCGGCGTAAAGCCACTTCGCCCCGTCACAGATAGAGCCTGCGTAGCCTGCGGGCCGTTGTTATTTAACGCGAGCAAAGTTTTGGCAGAGGAATTGCGAAGCAGTGTGGAGAATAGCCTCAGGCCTCAGTGTTGTTTTTAAAAAAGTATTAAAGCATGATATGTAAATTTGGTAGTTGTTGTTTAGAGAGGGGGGCGTAAGGGTTTGCGGTGATGCGGTTTTGCGTTATTTTTGGTGCGGTTTCGCGGTAATTTTTATTTTAACTCGCGGTATTGCGGTTTCAAAACACTAAGGCCCAGTTCATACGTCGTGCTTCTGCCGTGCCGAACCTAATTAATATTGGGTTCGACAGAAGCACGGCACAAGCACGACTTCAATTCAGACGTCGTGCCAGAGTCGAACTTAATTCAGTGTTCGCACTTATTGAACTCATAACTTTCGCCATCACTAAGGTAGATAAAGAAAAGCTAAAGAGAACTTTAAG